CAGGTCCAGTATCTGTGTCAAGGTCAATCCCAGCAGGACATCCACAGGTTCCTGGGCTTGATACACGGGCCGGACACTGTTGTCATAACCGCTGACCAAACGGCGCATCAGTCGCTGCTCGTCCGATTCCACGCGTTCCGGCTCCTCTTCCTCCTCATTATTCCCCTCTTTCACAGCTTCCTCATCCTTCCTGTTTTCCTCTTCCCCCGGCCAAAACAGGTCTACATCCGGGCCACCGTAGAGGTAATCTTTCGCCATGGACATGTTTACGAACTCGGCTGTAGAGAAGATAAAGGTACAAAGTATTTCATGGAGTTTTTAAATGCTTTTCATTTAAATTTAAATAAAGATGTACGTAATTTCATGTCAACACAAAACACAAGCACGTTAAAATGGATACGCGCATACATATCCCACGTATACGCACACAAACACACACACACACACACACACACACACACACACACACACACATACACACACATACACACAGACACTGCCAAACTCATGACACTGTGAATCTATTGGGCTTTTACATGACCAGATTGAGGGCTGTCAGACTATCCTATACACATGTATTGCTTTTGACCACTACTACAATCGCTTCTAATTGACAATGGTCTTGCTACAACTTTGGAATACATCAACGCAATAAAAAGAAAAAGGAAAAGAAATAACGCTTACCTTATTGATCCCCTTGGGAAATTTGTTTAACAATGTCGTACACAAATACACATAATATAAATTACTGCATAAATGCATTGATGATCCACAATATCACAAACATAGGCAATCCAGACACTATTGCTGGTCGCCACTGTACAGTGCCCTGTTTTTTAGCTAGTTTTATTTGTGCCTTGCTCAAGGACTCACCACATGTTTGGCATAATTGTAAGCCTGAACTCTCCATATACCCCTGCAACTGCTTTTGGAATGCCCCTTTGCTTTCATCCATGCAGCTCTGGGTCCATACCAAAGAGGTTTGACCCATAAACTGAACAACGGATGTTCATATTTTTTTTAAGTTGGCTCAATTCTGGAGTATTGCGATATAAAGCGCTCGTATAAATAATTCTTAAGCTCAAAAACCATAAAACCCAGCTCCATCATGTCTTTAAGGACATTGAATGCATCCTTCGTTTAAAATTTGGGGTATGAAGAGTGTGTGGTTTCTTTTGAAAAGTGTCACAAAGATCGGTGCCACTAGAATTATGTACAGAGATCAAGGGGTATCACCACACGTTGATTAGCCTTCAAAAGGGTGTATATGCGTGTGTTTGTGAGGGCGGTGGTCTGGGTATGTCTTTTATAGTAATAAAAATGCAAATAATTTTTGTAGCGACCACTCCAGTATAATACACCTCTTGACGCTTTACAATACCTTCAACTGAACCCAAAATACACAATACAATGCATGGATGTGAATAAAAAGCTCTTTAGATAAACATTAACATATAATCAGACACTCGTGTACATACTATCACAACACAATCAATGAGGATAGGCACAAGAATTATGAACATTAAAGTACTTTAAATAAACGAACATAATTCAGACTCAGTCTTTGAAGGCATTGGGACATGCATACAACGGCCTGTTAGTTAAGACCGAACTGAAAAGGTGTGATGTAGAGCTGTGACAAAATGAACGCACCAATTACATGATGGGAGCTATTCTAAATTATGTATCCTGTCTACCTCTCCACTCTCTTCTCTTGAATCTTGTGATCAAGCATACCAACACTCGTCACCTAAACTTATGAAAACGGCATCGACAGCAGCAGTAGCAACAAGAAAAATATTACAATTTTAACATCACCAACATAACAGCAACAAAAACAGCGACAGTAATTCAACATACCCAAAAGCGACAACGACAATAAATACGGGTGTAATTTCATAATTTAGTAAGGAACATGTATGTGATTACAAAATGAGTTTTTGTCGGTGTTTGAGAATAATGACTATAACTGGTATTTGTTCTAGCAATGATGGTGCAATTTGAAGCTATAAATAGGGAGCGGAGGTTATTCTCAGAAGCTTTGGTCTGTGTAATACCAGTCTCCTCAGGGGTTCTGAGACGTGCTGCACAACCTGCTCAACAGCCACAGACACTCTCGAGAAATGGTAATGACGGAATATAGCCAAAAACATTGTTAGAAAGGTGGCCAACTGCTGAGGCGTGCGTATTGTTACAATAAATACGCCTCGCTGAGCTTGCATCGAGTTTTGTACGTCGTAAATAATGTGCACCCCAACTGACACAATTTAGATCATTAAGTCATTAAGAAGATTGGCTCATTCAGAAGTTGTACCCATGTCCGCTGCGTGTGAGGTGAAGCGCCTAACCATTACACCAAGGACAGTTGTTAGTCTACAGATAGGGGTAAGGGCCCCAGGAATAGGATAAGATTGTACTCTATTGACTTTTCATTGACAGCAATTAGCAGTACGCACACAGGCCCACCCACCCACCCACATTTCCCTAAATGAAAGCACTCCCAGTTTCTCAGTTCCACCCAAAGTCATCTAGCCCCCCCCATCTCCGAGGCAAGTAAACTGTGTGTGTCTCTCTTCTCTCTCTCTCTCTCTCTCTCACTCTCCCCCTCTCTTTCTCTATCTATTTCCCCATCTGTCTCGGTCTATCTTCCTCTCTTCTCTCTCTCTCTCTCTCTCTCTCTCTCTCTCTCTCTCTCTCTCTCTCTCTCTCTCTCTCTCTCTGTCTCTCTCTCTCCCTTCATCTCTCTCTTTCTCCCCCCCCCCACACTTTTCATAACAAAAGTGTTGTTTGCAGAAGATAAAAATAATTTCCTCTCGCCTTGTTTCTAGAATCAGTACATGTAATTACCTACCACTTTTTCAACGTTTTATACGGGACAAAATACAGAAATATGAAAGTATATAGAAATAGGAGACCCTACTATTGGTACACCACCCCTCAGGCGTTCAGGAACAGTAACGAACAGTGAATGATGCCGAGTGAGAGTTTGGTCAGGCCGAAACTCACACCAGCGTCACGATTATGTTTCGTTCAATCACGAATTCAGTGACCACGGAAAAGCTGGTGTCACAATCACGGAGAGGGGCCGGCTGGCTCTGGAAGCGGGGCATGAGAACACAGCGTTATCACGGCTTAACTAACATCAGTAGAGAAACGCGATTGCATTTAGATCTAGACTGCTTCCTTTACAAAAAACCCATTAAAGTTAAAAATTAAATAAAAACGAGAAGAAAATGAAATTCTTTTTAAAACATGACCCCCCCCCCCCCCCCCCCCCATGGAATCTGGTTGCTTTTTTTCGTTTCATAAAAATACAAAGAAAAAATAGAAATAGGATTAATCTTAATGAAAGAAAGAACTAGAAAATAATTATCCAAACAGCTAAAAAAAAAATCTCCTAAAATTTTAAAACAGAAAGAGCACCCCCCTCCCCCTACTCATTTCTGTTGTTCCGTCTCTATTCAAGAAATGTCGACCTGAGTTATCACACATCTAATATCAAGATCCACAACTTGAAAAAAAATATTTGTTCCCCAGGAAGAAAAGCGACGGAATAAGGAGGACCCACAAATGGAAACACATAAAGAAAGCCTCTGATTATACTGCGGTTGAAAAACTCGGAAGTTGCTGGGTCACTGACAACTCTGAAAAGATGAAGGAAAAGCAAACAACCATTGACCACCCGTCAAACACCAACTCCAGAACCCTCCCCCCCCCCCTCAAATTCAGACTATCTTCTGGACTTAGAAATTAGTTCTTTTGTATTAGTTCTTCGAGAGAAGCACACACGTACATATCAACAGTGTTTACTTGAGCAGGAACAACCTAGTCCCACTACTTCATCTAATCCGAAGCGGTCTGACAGAACACTTTTTTTCTGTCGACTGTCGATGGCTAGATTGTTTTCCTCGGTGTCGGCCCTGTCAACTGTGACCGGCAGCTGGCTTCACGGGAGACACGCGTGCCCGGCTGAGATGACGGACCCACCTGCCACGCCTTCAATCCTCAGATATTTCCCAGGGGAGCACAAATTCATGTCTAAGCTGATCTAGCCGAGACAGAAGGTAAACTGACCAAGCCAGATGAAGAACAGGGCGCGAGGAAGCGTTGTGGGGACGGCGAGGGTAGGGGGAAAGAAAAGTCTGTGTTTGTGAGAGGGGTGGGGGGAGGGAATCAGAATGGGAACACAGGTAAGTAAAGACTGAAGACCCGACGGGCATACTGTACTAATTTACCCTCGATAAAACATTCTCTTCGCACTGGAGTCGAACTCAGGTCTTCTTCGTGTGACGGTGAAGCGATTAACTGCTGTACTACAGAGACCAGTCTGTTTGTCTTTAAAGTGTGGCAGATCACTATTACAAAGAGAAAACGCAAAGAAAGAATGCTTATATAAGAAACAACCTCCCCCCCCCCCCAAACACATTTTTAAAGCACCGCTGGCAACATCTATAACATCAAACCATGACACTGTTGCCTGCCGAGAATGCTTTTTTTTATAAATAGGAAATGGCGGGTTTTAAAACCAATCTTTACTGTCGTTTTACATGGTCCGGGTTTGATGTAAGGGTTTAAAACATAAAACTCAAAATGTGATTACTTCGTTATAAATCCAAAGCAGCAGGATACTTTTCTTTCCTTTTTAACACTTCAACGTCAAATTCAGTGTGGTGGACAGCTGTAAAAACTGTACACTATAAAAACTCTCTCCCCTCCCCCAGAAAACTTGGCGCAATTAAACAGGGTTCGGATATAAATAGACCCTTTGCAAGGGCAATAACTCAATCGTTTTGGGACAAAACTTCGAATAGCTAAAATCCGACTGAGGAGACGTCAGGCTGGTCAATACAAATAAAATCAATTTACGTATTCGAGAAATATCAAGTTTTGAAAACTCAAACCAAACTGAGCAAAACGCATCGTCTTATTTCTTACAAGCATTCAGCTAAAGGGCCGTGATCGGCCCGTCCTACTCTGGTTTCAGGACGAGGACGGTAAATCCGTCAGTTGCATGACTCATCATTTGAGAAAGTTTTGGAGAAGCCTTAGGAGGAGAACGGGTTATGGTTAATTCTGTGGGGAGGCCTGGTTCCAGCAGGGTGGGGCCACTCCACACACAGTAACAGTAGCTCTAGCATGTTGCAAGAAAAGTTTGAGGTAACACGTGCAAGCCAAAAACCTACAAATTTATGGTCACTGTATTCTTCGCGTCTTTGATCTCCTTCGATTATTTCTGTTGGGTTATTTTTGACAGTCTACGAAAGCAACCTAAAAACTA